CACAAAATCTTTGCCCTCTGTCTGTCAACATATGCATGATGTCTATGATGTCTATATGTCTACTTTAGTTTTCCACTAGAAGATCAAGGGCTCGTATCATAACAATGGACTGCCGCCGCCTGTTGGCATGGAGAGTTGTTTCCTCTCACGCATGGACAGAACGTACTTTTGTCAGACTATCAACCTATTATTCAGCAACTGCAATATAATGGTTCAAAGCATTAAACTAGCTTTCTCAAATTTAAAGTAGTTTTATAAGCAAACCCTTGCATTGATTAACTATTTTACATGTCACCCGTTAATTCTTTTGACGATTTATCCATTACAAGACAATTCTTTATTCCTTTTAAAATCTTTTTTTACCCTCACTCCCTTACTTGTACTCTCAGTCACAACACATGGTTTGTGTTCAGTGGCAGCTTGGGTTTGAAATAAGAGCCAAGTTGTCTCCTGGGTAACAAACCCTGCTATATTCTTATAGCATCAAAAGTCCATGTTTAGCCTCTTCTATGAGTGAGACTTGAGCAATGCATAAAATATGCGGATGGGTTTAATTTTGGAGCCAGTGAGAGTTCCTGGATGATGGAATCCTGAGGATGGGAAGTGATGTGGGTGGAAAGAGTGAGTCACCCATCATCTGTCCATTGCGTTAGGTTTGCTGCTACTGGTGCAGAGCCGAGTTGAACCCCGTCTCACTGTGCTGAAGGAACGGTGATGTCAGAGCTGTCACTGTTCTAGTCTCATCAGCACCCACCCACAAAGCTCTTGGTATTTGCACCCAGGGCAGGGCGGAGTACAATAATAGCACTGAGTGAAGTGTCTTTATTTAGCCCCCAGACATTGATTGTTAGCTTTATGTTAGCTCATGTTTGCACATTTTTTCCTCAAACCTAATGTTAAAAGCTATTTTTTCTTTTCTTTGTCAGGCTGCACATTTCACTGACGAAAGGATGGAAATCCAGATGGAACATTACATATCCCTGAATCAGTACGTTTTCTTGAAGCCAAACATTTTTAAAACCTGCTCTGCGTTGTTGTGTATATCTGGTCCCTTATATTGGTTGTCCAAGTGCATTTTGGAAGAGACAACCTTCCTCTGTGATTCATATAACCGTGGTCTTGTTTGTGTTTGCACTTCAGCGTAGTTTGTTTGCCTTTAATAGAACACAGCCTGAATGCTCTCTGTACATGGCAGCCCTCATAAATGACGCAGTATGAGCAAAACATCTAATAAAATGACCACCCACATGCTGCTGCTGAAAATGACGCAGATGTGCTTTTAAGCAACTTTTTTTCTTCTTCTTCTGCTAGAGTACAGAAAACAGATAAATCATGTAAGTGGTGGCTCCGGCTCTGTGAAGTAAGTGACTCATCGCTGAACTTCATTGATTATGTAACTACATTACTTTCTCAGCATATGTTTACTCCTATTCCTAAGAGCCTACTTTGTGGTGTTGTAATAACAATCCATGTCATGAATTTGGACCGACCTGTTTGTTAATGTGTGTGGGTAAAGCGAAGTTGATTTGCAGGTTTGGCTCAAAGGAACTGGGTTTTCCTGTCTTGGTAAAGTTACATTAGTTGTTACATTAACTTATGTAATTTTCTTTTAAATGTCAATGTAAATACTATTCAACTGTTTACTTAGTGGTAGGGACACTCGGACAGTAACACTAACCAAGACTAACCAAGATGTTACAAGACATGTTGTCCTGATGTTGTTTTGAAATACTTTCTCCTCATGATTATTCAGGCTATGCTGCCCTCTTCTGGTGATTTATAGAAAATATAAATGTGCACACTGGGTGAAAAAGGACATAATGTTTTACTTATCTGTATTATGTTTAGTAAAAAGGAATGTTTCATAAGAAGGGAAATTTAAAAGCTTCAATATCCATTTCATTAGAATAAGTAGAAAGGATAAGATTTTAATTTTAACTTATTATCTTTGCAAAACCACCCAAAGCTGTCATTTAGTACTCTATCATTATCATTATCAGAATCGGGTTTTATTGCCAAGTACATTTACACATACAAGGAATTTGACTTGGTGTATTGGTGCTAAACAATTAACAGGGAAATAAAGCAGAACTAGCAACAACTTAAACAATACAGTATAAGGAAGCTATTACAATATATAAAATAGAATTTAAATGTAATGTAAAATATAAAACATTTAAATTAAAAACACAGAAGGTGTAATGTAGGAGCTGTGCAGTGGACTATGAGAAAATCTTACTGTGTGTAACTACTCACAGAGTGCATGTAAGGAAGATGCATTTTTAAAGTCCAGAAGGCGTTAATGTAATGCATAAAGAACAGTTCAGCATTCACATTACTTGATGTTTTACTGACTGTGGGGCTGAGGAGAGTCTGGGTTATGTGGGAGGAGGGCAGGGACATTGTTCATGAGGCTGACAGCAGAGGGGAAGAAACTGTTCTTGTGGCGAGAGGTTTTGGTCTTGATGGACTGCAGCCTCTTACCAGAGGGGAGAGTCTCAAACAGTCACATTCACAGTGACTCGACAAAATGTAGTCTGACCTTTTTTGTGTGATTTAAGATTTAGATTACATTTTTTATTTTCATTTAGGTTTTTTCACCCCCATAAACACTTTGTTACAGTAGTGTACAGAAACGATGTTTCTATTTGGGTGGTTCACCAATAACAAAGTACACAATGCAATAAAAGAGACATAAAAGACAGACATTTAGATTACATGTTTAACATTAGCTATTACATAATAATAGATATGACTTGTATAATTTTTTCTATAGGCCTACCTTATCCTCAAACAAACAGACTTCACCATCTTTACTCCAAAACACTCCAACATATCCCATAAAGCATAAAGGAGGAGTTTTGAAAGACAATCTCTTAATTTGCAAACAAGTCAAAATATCTGGAACATGACATGTGACCCAACTTCACTGCTTTTAAACAAGGTCATGCCAAAAGTTTCCTAGCAACAGCTTTAATCTTTAGGAATGTGTATGATAAGCTTATATTCTAATTCTGTATGAATGATGTAGATATATTAAAAGGATTTGCAGTAGAAGGTATCCTAAAGGTATCTGACGTACAGAGGTATCTTAAAAACTCTCAGGGATATGGTCCAATTTTTGTTCCACAAATATAAACTTGGGTAAAAACAATACAGAAAAGTTAGTTTAATAGAACTTATCACGTCCTTCCTTAATTTCAATAAAGGAAAATAATTGGCTCATTTTTTATTTCGATGGGACATACACACAAGGTTGTCTTTATGTCAAATTTGGTGGCCACTGACTATTTTTGTAGCCATGTGCCTAGGGCAATAGTTCACTTTGACTCTAGGTAGAACCTTACCAAAGTGCTTCTGGTTATGGAAAGCCTGATTGTGCTGCTCACTATAATAAGGCTTTATGCCGATGCATTAGTTTTAATGCAAAAGAGAAAAGAGCCGCGCCTGGCTCAGATTACCATCTGCATTCCCCCCTCTGATCATGTTATGTATAGATTCAGCAACATTAAAGTGTGGAAGAATGTTTGTGGTCTTTCATAAGAATTTCATAAAAGCTTCTTTTTTTTTTTTTTACTTTAGGCAAACTCCAACCTTTTGAGCTTGAATGAAGGATGTTTGAGGGTTGGCTTAAAGAAGTGTGAACATTTAACATTGTGGTGTCCAAGCCAGGAAGGGCATGATGAAAGTTCTCCTCCTCTTGGCAAAGCTATCAGAACTGACAGAAGGTACTTAGACAGGCTGAGCAGCGTGCTTTAGTCTGTGGGATTAGAAAGCGAACTCTCTCTAGTAAATAAGATCAGGGGTCATCTGAGTTTCCCTGAGGGTTTCTTGATGGGGTTATTTACCAAGGACTTCTTTTTTTAATTAAGGCACGACACAATCTTGTCCTTAGGCATCAGTGCCTAGATGTTCAATGCAATCTGATTCAATTCTTGCTATAGGAGTGGATCGAATGTTCCTTTTTTTGGTTTTGATTGGGCTAATACCTTCAGTCTCTGTTGTCAAAACGTTTGATTTAGATTGGACATTTAATTAAAAATGATAAATAGGATTATCCTGATTGGAGGAGGTTGATCCGCTGTTGATATCTTGAAGAAAATGTTATAAAACCAATAAACTAATCAACCTATGCAATGCTAGTGCCATGGATTAAAAACTCATTATACATATACATATTCAACTGTTAAAGTTTGAAAGTAGAAAAAATAACATTAAGCCTTTCAAAATTGTAGTTATTTTTAGACAGATGGTTCTTTCCCCAATTCAGTGATTGCACAAATAGCTATCACTGTCAAACATTTTTTTCATTTTCATTTATTAATATTTAGAAATTAACAATAAACATTGTCCCATACCCTGGGATCCAAGACCAGTCCTGGAACACTGGACCTATATGGTTCTGTGTTCTTTATGTAACCTGTTTCTGTTTTTTTTTCCTGAAATTCTTCTTATCAATCACACAGTCTCGAAATCCATCAACGATATCTGAGGAAAAAGCCTTTTAGACTGATGGAAAACTTCTCAGTGCTTCTGGTGTACCAAGTGGTCGCTATAAAGGACATTGGACCAATTCTTGTTTTCTGTGAGGTGCCATTCTTTACAATCCGTCTTGCAACTTTGAAGTGAGAAAGGAGTTGGTGTTGAGAAACAACAGGCAATGGTTAACTGAACTTGCATGCAGATATCTGTTTATAGACATTAATTAAAGCCGTATGGTGGCCTTGTAACAACGGTTTATTCCCAGAGCCATTGGCAGTTGTTTGGTGGATTATACCGTTGTATCCCGACTGTTTACCATCTAGGGCGACAAACAGAAGGCAGCACACTTTTTCTAAAAGTGGCTTATCTGAACCTTCTTTAATATAATTTGCAAAGAACCAGTGCACCTATTCTCGGAAACCTGAAAATGTCAAGGACTAACAAGACACAGTTTTAGTAAAAATTGTCAAAATTGAAAAAGAAGAGCCTTAGATATTACTCAATTTTTATTGCCTTACTGTATATGGATCATACTGTCTAAACGCTCCACGATGCAACAAGACAGTGGCTTTTTCCTGTAAAAACGGATAGCTCTCAAACTCAAGATATCCAGTAAACAAAGAGGTTCCAGTCTAGAAAAGAATAAGGGCAGCTAAATGATTTTTCTTTTAGGTCTGACCTATTTTCAGAATTCTGAGAAAAAATTCAGCACTAAAAAGTTTTTTTTCAGTGACCCTAATCCTCTTCCGTACATCAGGGTTATTTTATCAGACATCAGAAAACTCCCACAACAACCAACATGGGTGTAATAAAATGTAGTCAACGAACTGCACCTTTAATATCACTACTGTGAAAAGTACACAGCCTTAGTTTTCTAGATGTAATAATAGCTGTCTACATTGTACAAACATAATACATACTGCTTTATACAAATAAACTTTTTTGACTGTATTTATTAACTAAGGCATTCAATGGCACATTCTGATGAAGCTTAAATCAAATATACCTATATGTAAATATATTGTGGAGTAATGACTCCTTGAAGAGAGTCGAGTCACTCCATTTGGATTTGTTGTTTTCTGCTCTGTGCTCACATGGACAGGACTGCGCTTGTTTATATTTCACTCAGGGACTCGAACATGTTCTCTTTTTGAGTAAATGCATCCCTCTCCAACTGTTAGCCATGCCTGCCACAAGAAGGCGTAAGAGGGAAGACCCTGCCCACTCAGGGAAGCTGTTTCTAGAGGCATGGTATTGGAGTGTCATCACAAGAATACAACTTAAGCTTAACCAACAGCTTTTCCAGACTGAAGACAGACTCTCTTTTAAGGAAGTGATTACCCCACAATATATTTATGTATTACATATTTGAATCCTGCAATATTTAAATTCAGAATGATGCATGTTATGCCTTTAGCCAAATTAAGAGATTTTCTATATTCATGTGATGGATAACACTAGAGTTTGGCCAAAGCATTAAAGCTGTAGCTACCTTTCCAGCTTGTTAAGGGACACTGATTGATCTTGGACTTTAGCTCTATTAGAGAAAATATTAGATATTATTTTCTGTTAGTGACATCAGCATGCCCAATGTCAGTTCTTTTCCTGTGACGGCTGCCCGTTGATCTGGCCAGATTCCCAGCGTTGCCATAGCGCTGCCTTCTGACCTCCTGTTCTCCGTACTTTTGCCTCCTGCTGTGAGATAAGAAAGAGAAAAGAGCATTCAGGGATTAGCTCTCTTTTTTTTAAGCCTCTGAATAAGCGATCAATATCTGAGCTACTTTTAGGCTACTAAGCCGAGGAACTGTAAAATGGTGTTTGCAAACCAACTCCAATGCCCTGTTCTATGAATCAAAGTAACATATAGTTTAAATTTATTTCCACCTATTTTTTCCTGATATGACAGACTCACCACTGGAAGACCTACAGAAAGAAGTAGAAACCAAGATATATTTATATTCATAAGACCTGAATCCTCACCTGTGTTTGCTCAGGTTTCTGGTCTTTCTTGGGCGGGGGCCAAAACCTCTCCAGTTTCCCCCTGGATTGACCGGTGCCATCTAAAGAACAGGGAGAAGGAAGGAGCAGAGTAATATGAAGGAACTTCATTTTAGGTAACAGTCATTCATTTAAATGGAATGATTGCATAGTTTTAACTGTAGATTTCTTTCGACCATTGGATCAAATGTAAGCAGCAAACATTTGCATACTGAGACAACTACTTTCCTATGATCAAATCCTATTTCAGGACCTTTTGTTTCTTTTGAAAAACCTTGTAATTAAAATTGTATCCAGTGAGGCATGATGTATAGCTCAGTTGCTAGACTGACACTACAGATGGCCCTTGTACAGAAGCAACAGTGCCTTATGAAACTGGTTGCAAGATGGATTCCCGGTCCTGAAGTTATTTTGTGCACGTCATGCCCTCTCTCGCCCCACTTTTCCTGTCTCTTTCAAGCTGTCCAATAAATTAACCACAATACCCTATAATATATATTCTTTAAGAAAAGTTTGATGCAACCCAATTTGTTGGATTGCTATTTCCTGTTCAAGTCAATTCAGCGATGATTTGGAAATGTGATCTTTCATCTCATTGTGTTCTGAATAACATTACATTGGCTAACCATGATCCACATACAAATTCCATCCAATTACTTTTCAAGATGACAAGATCTTGTTTACAACAGCTCTAAATGTGACTTATTATCATAATATGGTTTAGTATAATTCTAAAGAACAAGAAGAAGATTATCCAGCATGGTCTACGGGTTTGAAATTGAAGAACATGGAATGGCACAATTAAACAAAGGAAATACAGCCTTCCACGTTTAGTTCAATTCAAACAGATGAACCATTTGTAAACCCACAAAAAATAATTATATGTTATAATGACAAACAAATCCTGTCAGAAAACCTGATATGTAATTTCATTATCTTCATCATCTTTTTTCCAAATCAACTCAAAAAGTTTTCAACAGAACATCGTAATATCTGATAAGAATTGAATCTACTTGATGTGATCTTTTACTATTTTGGAATCCTTTTATTCATTTGAACAAGCCACAGCACCTTTTGTCTGTTGGCTATTTGGTTTTTTGGCTTCAGGCGTAGCTGAAGGTTATTTATCTGGTGTGATAATATTGTTTAGCTGAGGAATCTGTGAGTGACAGATGCAGATTTTAAGGTCAACAGAAGACATTGGCCTTAGTCAACTGCTCATTTAAGCAAGGACTTATAATTTTGGAACGTACTACATGTCCTCTGTGAGTAAATCCCAAAGAGTTTACGTTCTCTTGCAGTATTGTGTCATGGCTGTTGAGGAAAAACACTCTACAGCAAGTTTGACCTTAAGAATGAGTCATTTCCTTCTTTGTATCCCAGCCCAGACATATTATAAAGCTGTCACATGTTGCATCACTTTCATGACCTTCAGTCAAACATTTCCTCATTGTTCAGCTGCTGTATCTGAAAAACTAAAATGGTGCTACAAAAAGTCACAATACCTGGCTGTTTTATCCCGTCAGTGTGTGTAGACAACAGCAGATCTTGGAAGGGACACACACACTTACAACAAAAATACACAGGTGCTGCATTTTTTTTCCCACTGTCTGAAGCCATTAATATTTACAACATGCTAAAACCAAACCAGCACCGCCCCCAGGTCATGCTAAAGTGCAGATAGAAGCCTTCATGTTGTCATTCAACCCGATGGCAGCCGCTAGCTCAGGTCAGGCTGCTTTTAGATGGATATGCGCTTAACCCTCTTTGACAGAGTTGACACTGAGTCAATAACACTTCTTAGATAACACTATGTGATGTTAATGTAGAGAGGCAGTCATTAAAGTCCTCAGAAGGAAGGAAGGGATATGAAATGAATGAAGATCTACTTCTATTACACATCCTGTTCTGGTATTCATCTAACTTTTATATTTCACACTTACCCTTTTCTTAACATTGTCCGAATGTTCATTTAAATGATTAAAGGTTTCAATAAAATGTTTGTTGGTAGGCTTACCAACGATCATTTATTAAAAATGCTCCTCTATGGTGTATCCATTTGCACACATAACGCAGGGCGCAGCTTGGTGGAGCTGCAGAAACCTATTGGTCTTCTCTTTGGGGCGGCAGTAGCTCAGTCTGTAGGGACTTGGGTTGGGAACCGGAGGGTCGCCGGCTCTAGTCCCGGCACGGACCAAGTTCGGAAATTGGCCTGGTAGCTGGAGAGGTGCCAGTCCACTGCTGAGGTTCCCTTGAGCAAGGCACCATACCCCAAAAACTGCTCTGGAGCCCCCTCACTCTGACACCTCTCCATTAATGCATGTCCATAGGATCCTGTTTGTGCATGTGTGTGTTCATGTTCATTAAAAAGTGTAAGTGTAAAACTTGAGAATTTGCCCCTCACGGGATTAATTAAGTATAAATTATTATTATTTTTATGTGTATGGTGACATGATTGGTGTCCAGAAAAAAATGTAGGAGTAGTAGTTTCTGAATTTACTTTAATTGTAAAAATAGTTAGCAATCTTTGAACAGGGACAATTGCACCCCAGACTATAAATTCAGGGGAGTAGGAGGATACACTTAACTTTGTTTGAGATGACTGCTATAATGAAGAATTATTTATTCAGGCTGATTTTACGGGCCAAAGAATTCAGAGGTCCGGGCTGTGGCTGCTACTATACAATACATACTGGACTGTGTAGACAGTTGCAGGCCAGATCCTGCAGGCAGAAAGCTGAGCTGTCTTGGTTAATAAAGCATGCAGGGGCTGTTTTCCATCAACACTGATTGACTGTAATTAAACTATGTTGTACGTAAAAACTCTCATACTTTCACAAGTTACCTTAAAAAAGAGTTCATATCTATCTATAGAAAAAATTGCAACTCATTAATTGTTTGATACTTTTGCATTAAATTCTGTAAAATACCCTTTTGTACATTGGGGTTAGACACTGCATATTTTTATACAGCAAATTCGTTTTTTTGTCTAATACTTCTTATATTATAAGTTGATCATATGGTTCATTATGTTAGGTCTAAATCTGCTGTTACTCATATACTCATGTTAAATATATCAAGGAGATACTGATGACTAACCTGTAGAGAGTGCTGGTGTGAATCGAGACATGTCTTTGTCTTTACTTTTCCACTTATTCTCTCCATACAAGGTGCTTCTCTGTTTGCGCAGCTCCTCCTCTCTTTCTTTTGCCTCCCGGATGTCCTTCTCAACTTCTGGCTGCAGAACCAGGGCTCGACGCAACTTAAAGAATGGGTTATGTTTGAGAGTAGGGGATTCATCTGACAAGTTCCCCTCTGTAGCTGCACTTCTGGACTCCATAGTTAAATCATCAGTGCTTATTAGGTCCATGCTTCTGTACTGGCGTGCGTGTTTATCTTGTTTTTGGTAGGGCGATGAGCGTGTTTTGTCTCTTGAACCTCCATTTGGGCTTTTTGCTCTAAATTCTTCAGAACCTTTCTTCATCTGAGGAAATTCATTCATCCAGAAGGAATGTGTTCTTGAAAGAGCGAGACTCTTGAGGGAAAACATTTCTAGGCTTCGAGTGCGCTCTAGCACTGATGGGCAAACATGACCTTTCAACAATGAGGCAGGGAGTTTCTGATGACTTGTAGGACCCTCCATGTTTTCCTGCTGGAAAGCCTCAAAGAGAAGTTTTGTTTCTTTTAACTGGCGGACTTCTCCTTTGCTGTAAGTCCCTGGGATCTTCCCCTGGTTAACCATCACCAGTTCTCTCTGAAGTTCCTGACTAATTTCGTTCTGCATCTTCTGCTCAGAGAATTGCCAAGTGATGTGCTCACCTTGGCCAACTTTAGTGGGAAGAGGCTCAAGCAGGAAATTGGTCTTGAAGGGGATCTCGATCACATCAAAATCATCTGCTAGATTGAAGACACCACCAGCTCTCTGAAGGTTCTGCTTTTTCTGAGCTGCCTCATGGATCTGCTTCTCAAGGAAGGTCTCAGCAACTGAGAGTCTTGGGCGGTTGGATACAAGGGGGTTTTGGGTGGAAGGCGTTTCATTGATAGAAGACCAATCCGCTGTTCCCCAGATTTCACTTTTATCATCATCAGAGTCACCCAACTCTGGTCTAGCAATTGGGCAATGCTCTGGCTTTACCGACATTGTTGGCAGAGAAGACCATGCCTTTGTTTCACAACGTTGACTTTCATCATTTTCCTCTTCCATTATGTTTGCTTTTGCTGCAACATCCTCAATAGTGTGAAATTGATTCTCATTTACGCCTTTTAGATCAGCCTTTCTTGCTTTTATATAATCTTCTTCGGTCACAATCACACCTTGTTTTTCATCCGTCAGCTGGGAAGTATTAGGGTTCTCTGGAACATGTACATCCTGTCGTAGCTGCACCAGTTGCAGGCGTTGAAGCAGCTGCTCGCCTTGTTGGACATTAGAAGCTATTCTCTTGCTTCCTGGTCCCTGCTCCGCCTTTGAAATGGTCTCCACAGAGCCCTCAGAGATGGGGAGTCCAGGTAATAGTGTTTCACTAACCCCGCTCTCTCTCCTGACCCAGTCATATTTTGCAAGCTTGTAGTTCAAAGATCTGGTGTCAACATGCTCGTCATCACCGATGTCCATCACCTCTGTTACAATCTCTGATACATGTGGTTGATTCATGGCTTCGTCCACACTGTTTTGTTTGTGCTTGCAGAGCTCTGGTGGCCCCGAGGATTTTAAATCATCATCTTTGACTCTAAGACTTGACCGTGTGGGGAAATGTTTCTTAACTCCACAATTTTCCTTTTCTGCTGTTAGTTTTGACTTTGTCTCAGCCAGTACAGAAATGCCATCTGTTTTAGTTTTTTTTCTGTCTTTGTGAACATAAGTCTCTTTTTCTGAAATTTCTTCAATTCTTTGGGGTACCTGTTTTGGATATGTCTTGCTCTCCACCTCAACTTCTCTCCAATTTTCTGGCCTTTCACTCAAAATGTCAATGTCCTCAGGTTCCTCAGTTAAATCGATGTTCCTTGCTGTGTTATCCTGATGGTTTCCTCCATGTGGATCATAACATATTCCCATCAGATTACCTACACTCTCCATTGAGGATGGGTCTTGGTCTTGGCTTTTTGATGGAGCGGATTCCTTGTTTTCCGATAGAGATGCTGTATCCACAGACTCCTTAGAAGTCTTCTCTCTACTTCCCATCAACTCATCCAGCTCGTTGTGTGCTACCATTAACTGCTTCTCACTATGATGCCAGTCTAAGCCATCAGGATTAGCCTCAGCTTTTGTGGCGTCAGCTGCCCCATTAGCAAAGGTCAACTTGGAATTATTTACTGTTCCATCCGTGCTGCCCTCTGCTGGAGGCAGAGGAACCATGAAGGGTGGAGAAGGAGGAGTAGGTAGCTGGCTTAAAACATCATCATCTGTATCCACATTATCCATCCCTCTGTAGAAACTGGTATCCACTGCCTGGGCAGACGGATTGACAGTGGTTTCATCCTGGGTTCTCTCACCACAGGTTTCTGGCAGGCTTTCTGTGTGTTCTGTTCCATGGTTGGAGTCCATCTTCATCCACAAACCACCGTCATCCTGGGACACAGAACCTTGTGGCTTAGGGCTTGGATCACTTTTTTCCATGGTTACAAGACTTGGAGCACTTTAAGGTTTCTTATCTATTCCCCTTTAAGAGACAGAAAAAAGTGTAAGGAGGTTGAAAACGAAAATTAAGTGCTAAGAAAAGAAAAAGTAGTATGAGCAAACATCTTTGGATTACAAATACATTCTAACATTTTGTTTTGGAAGAACTGTACTGTATATATGCTGGGTAAAATATTATAAATATATAAAGATTTTTTCTAATCTTTCACAAAATAAGTCATCTTTAAGGACTTAACCATGTCAGTTGTGCCTTAATTTGGTATGTTCCAACCCAAGCATTCCCAGTTGCATATTCCGTATTACAGTCATTTATATGCTTTGCCATTGAGGTAACTTATGTTTCTAGTAAAACAGAACCCATTTCGATTTGGCAAGACCAGTAGGAGAATCTATGTCTGTCGGGATGATAAGACTATTACACTGAAAGGCGTGCAGAGCAGATAACATCACTGCACTCCATATTTAAGGTTATTATTGATTTTGTACTTTAACGTCTTGTTTTTGCTAATGTTCATATTAAGCACTTTGAATTACCTGAAATGTGAAATAGTTGCTGAAATGTGTAATATAAATAAACTTACCTTGCCTTGCCTTTCCTTAATACCTTATAAAATGAAATATAAGGCTCCTTGTTTTGGCTTTACTGTTTAAAAACATGTTAATTAGATTTAATGCCTTTCATTTACCTTACCTGACCACAACTATTTAGGACGTTGTTTTAAAAAGCACAAATTAAGGAGGAGCTACATCCCTTATTCTTTTACAGCTCGGCATGTGTTGTTTTGGTGACTCTTCTCCCCTGCTGTGACCTAGCAAAGCCAATTCTGCTGACAAAAGGGAAGCTTAATCGGCTTTGCCTTTTCTATTTTGGCATGCGCACCATGTACAGTATTTGCTAGCCACAAAGGCTCTCATCATCTCACCATTTTGCCTGTTGAGAAAGATGCTTTAACACCATTCTGTTGTGTATAACAGACCTTTACTCATCAGGCTAGTGGATGTTGTCACTGAGCCACAGTGACTCACTGAAAGTGCTCTGTGACCAGCCTTTGACTTTAAATTTACTCTGATGCTTGCTAGAGAACATGCATGCTCTATGCAGTGCATTTAAATAAACGTCTTCTCTTTGACAGCATTGTCCTTCATTATCAGATTCCCTGAGACATAGCTTTATATCTATGAGTCTATATTTACATCTTCAATCAGGGGATTAATGCCAACTCCATTTCAGGATTACCAGGATTAACATAACATATGTAAAGCTTCAGCAACGGGACATATTAATCTTCCTTAAAGAGCTTTACCTGTCCATTCCATCCTCCCTCAAAGAATATTCTCTACACAGATATTATGGTGAAGTTTTAAATAGTTTTAAACAATATTTAAAAATATTAATATTCTTTCACAAAAAAACTAAAATAATACCACAAATGCTGCTTCAGGTTTCCAGTACTTATGGTATGGAAATGACTGCTGTTCTAGTAGTTCATTTTCTTTCAATTGTATATTTATTTTAATATATAAGAAAGAAAATGTTTATTTTAACATAATCATTCACAGTTTCACTGATGTTTCTTGCTATAACCATATAAAACTGTACTTATAGTATCTGGCCCTCAGGGAGAGAGTAGTTACTAAATATCAAACAGGTAGACAAAAAAGCAAATATTTCAAAAGAAGAGACCTACCTGCCTGTAAGGGTTGGAATTCTCCCAAGGTGTGATGCAGTAGTAGCCAACCACAATGGAAAAATGAATCATCCAGCTGAGGATCCAGCTGATCTACTTAGCACCTGTAACCTCCTGTCCACTGTACCACGTGTGCAACAATAACTCTGTGTTGTTTGTTTGATGCACAGATCCAATGGACCCTGGCTGTATTGAAGTGTATGAACACACATTTAATTTTTTAGAATGCCTCTGTGTTTATAGTTCAATTCTAATGATAGATATGAGTTAATAACATAACTGAATCCGTTTTGTTATATCGTCATTACATTTTTAGTGAACATGCAGTGCAATGAACGAGTTGCAAATAAAAGTGATACAAATAATAAAACCCTAAAAAAATGTTTAGTATACCGTTACAGTTTCTTTAGTGATTAAAGTGCTAAATTAAAAACGTTTGTGTGTGCAACATTTCACATTTCTTACATGCAGTCTCAAAGCTGCAACAATAGAATAAGATGTGAAGAAATACAAAAATTCCATTACAACCATGAAATAATGAGGGATATTAAGAATGAAAAGGTACTGTTTACCAGCAAAGCACAAAAACAAGACAAGCAGCTAACATTGCTAATTAATTAATCCTGTTTATTTCACTCATTAGAAACAAAACATGTTGCATTGTCAAGGAGCTTTTACTACTAGTCTTTTCTTTTTGCTGAGCTGAAGCTAAACAGCTGCTTGCTGTAGAATTAGAGATATATCTTTCTTCTTGTCCAATCCTAAACATAAAACCTAATAAGTGTATTTCTAAAATGTCATACTATTGTTTTGAGAATTTTTGAACTAAAATACATCTGTGGAAGAAACTCAAGGAGTGACATCCCTAAATCCTTATCAGTAGATTAAAACACCCAACATTCAGGAACATTGTTAGTGTGCTAACTGGTAGCTACAGCCCTGAGTCATGTTTAGCACAGTATTTAATGTATAAAAGCTCAGCTGTCAATCATTTCTGTAAAAAAAAAAGTAAGCATACACTTAATGAATATTACCACAATTATAGTTGTTAAAGGCAAAATTCTGTAAAATATTTTTTTCTGTTTTTTTCATTCGTAGAGCATACAATTCTAAACATATGAAATATTTATGGCTGATTATAGGCACAGGATGGGATTTTAAGGTATTGAGACATCTGCATTCCTGCAGCAGTGCACGATGTTGAAATTCTCAGCTTTGTCCACCAGAGGGAGGAAGTGGATTTTAGTAGTCCCTTGGAGTGACTGACAGTCAACATCTGCTATACAAGATCTAAAAAATAATACATTTGGAAGTGCTGGATGATCTCAGCCATTGTAAGAACAAACCAAGGGAAGGTTTATTCTGTCATATGAGTCAATAAGGCGTCAATGCATACTCAAAATAACAAAGGAGAAAGTAAAGACTGATGAGTGAGTCTCTCCATCATTTTTCTTACATGACAGAGCAGCACTGACAGGTCTTGCGTTTGGACGTGGTCTCTCCCTCTGCTTTAGCAGATGAAGATGAATCATGTCGAACCTTTTCACCTTCCTCTCCCTGGACTTTAGCTCCTGCCCCGTTTCCTTCCAGAAGAACTTCCTGAAACACTTCTTGAGGGAATTCTTTCCCTTCCAGAGTTGATGGTTCGGGATCTAAGACATGTTCTTCTCCTTCCTCAGTGATCATCACCCGTTCCACGGTGAGCATGCCTTGGTGGTCGCCTGGATCCTGACACTGGTCAGCTGTATCATCAGCGTATCCCAGGAACAGAAGAGTGACTGGGCCTTCCACCAGCTTTTCATCGAACACATTATCTGCCTCTCCTGCAATGTCACCAACCGCTGTGATGCTTCTGTCCTCATTTTTATCCTCCTTATTTTCCATGCTTACAGCATAGTTGTCTGTCCCCAATTCAGCTTTCACATCGTAGCTTCTAGAACTGTCAAACTGTGTATTTTCCTCCTCTGATATGGCATGACAGGCAGAAAAAGACAGGACTTTCCCCTCCGGAGCTGTCCTCATGGCATCTTCATTCTCTGTCTTTGTCCCTGTCTTGTTTGGCATGACTTCAACCTCGTCCAACAACACTTTCATGCCAACCCCATCGATCATGCTCAAGATCTGCCCGAGCTCCTCAGTTGAGGGTTGACCTCCCACCCCTCCCACAGCGTGGATACTCTTCCTGCCATCGTCAAAGACAGTATTGGCCGTGGGAGGACCAGCTGGTGTGGACACAGGGGTCACTGACCTGACGACAGTAGCACCTGTCTTAGGGTCTCTCTCCACCTGCACAGCTAGTGTTCCCAGGACTGAAATATGAGAGGACAGAATGGAATTTAAATGACCTCTTTCATGCTTGGTGTCCCAAAAATGTTTAACTCACTTCCATTAGTTTTGTTATATTGGTATGGCTCTTTACTTTTGGACAGCCTAAACAACCTACATTTAAAATGTCATGCACAGGCGCCTAAAAAATAACTTGAACAATGAAAATACTTGTATTGAGTTTTAAAAAGTACTTTTGTGTAAATGTATTTCTGTGACTAAAACACATCTGTCTGCTCCCATGGAGTTATACTTCCATGAAACAATTTTTTTTCTGTTTATTGGGCCTACACTGGCTTCTCTATTACAATGAAGGATGCAGATATGGTTTATTTTAAGAGTTTTAAGAGTTTTAAAACAATATTTAATATTATTTTCTTAAGACAAATACAGATAAACATCACGTAGCGACATGAAGTCCACAGCAGACAGATTTAAATCTCCCTCAGTATATACTGTATGTATATAAGTATGTTTTCTTTTACTTGTCTCAAACTAGAAAAAATACCTATAAATATTTGTGATTAAAAATTCTACTTGATTTCTACATTTACATGCCTGATAGGACTGAGAATTTAAAATGCAAGAGGAAAGACAACTCTCAAGGCGCAGTTACAGAAAAATATGTAAATTTGAAAACTCTCACTTCAGGACAAGTTCTTGCGTCATCTAAATAAACTGTCCAAACATTTCTCTGAAGTCTGGGTGTTCATAAAAGTTGAGAGATAAAAAGGTTAATGCCAGGTCAAAGCTTTATGAACTTGTGAGCTGCCAAACTGGACAGTATAAAGAGACACAATAAGTCAAACAGAGCATCTTTTCACTTCACACAGCCCTCAGCTCAATAAAACATTAACAAACAGGAATAATTAAGTGGAGCTATAAATATAACATTGTTCTTTAGTAGTGCTTTTCAGTCCCTTTGTTAAATCACAACCCGGGGGCAGAGCCACATTAAATGAAGGGGTCATCATTTGCAAGAGGAAAATAGATGCTATTCTGCAGCCTTAGTTCCGGCTTTATATTATTCATTAATATGGGTTATCCATTTAGCCTCAGTTTCAGAACTGCTACATCGAGGGCTTTAGTCAGAAAGGGCCTTTAGAGCTCATAGTGTCAGCATTTGGCTAATCTGTAGGAGACTATCAATTTAAATACCAAATTCTTCATTCATGACCTCAATATTCTCAGTTTTAGCTAGCTTTAGTAATCACCAAAGGAACCACACTAAATACTGATAATATAAATTCATGATAAGTTACAATAAAGCCTCCTCCCATCTCTCACCTGATCGGCCATCTTGCCCACTTTCATGAAACATCCTTTCTGCCATTAGAGAAGTGATCCTCAGCGTTGCTATTCACTGAAAAAGAAAATTAATTAATTAGATTGTTGTAAAATAGGTTTTCAAGTCAAGCTATGATGAAAATGAAGTTCAGCTTTGATTTAAGTATATACGGCACACCTTAACCGTTTTTTTTACATGTGCAATTATTAAAAAAAAAAAAAACATTCAAAAAGAAAAGAAAATTAAGTTAACAACAGAGACCACTACATAATTATTCTTCAAGAGGTGTGAATTTTTGGTCAGAATATAAACATGGCTTATCTTCTGAGCAATGGAATAAAAAAAAAAAAGGATGTCCAAAATCACTCACGGTTCATAACAGGATGTGTGGAAATGTAAAAATGAGGGGAATGAGTATCTTGTAATAACATTTGCTCTGCTACACACATCCACAGACATCAATAGATATGTCTTGTAAAAAGCTTCCGCTTCATTTCTAAACAAAGGTGTGATAATAGTGGATAATGGTGTTTCAGCAGAACAGTCACATGCAGGCAGAACAGAACTGTCCAAGTTGTTTCTTAGCTGTCACCCTGATTAAAATGACTTTTGTCCATGCACAGACTTAGTTATGCTAAATTTTCATCTGTCATGAGAGAATAAAGTCCAGGCAGATATAGTATTGAGGGTGACAGGGAGAGAAAGCTGCGGATGGTAAGCTCATGACGATTACAGCTCGGCTGACTTCTTACCTGCAGGATCTTCTTGTCAGTGCCAGCCTGTGGGGAAGAAAGGAGACATTTCTAAGTGCTCTCCATTTTCAGACACTTATAACAGACACAGAGTCTTCTCTCTTTCTGGGGCCCTCACAAACCTGTACCCCGCCATAAATATTTCAGTGGTCCTCATCAGAGAGGTGTTGAACCGAGCTGAGCCCCATCAAGTTAAAACAGGCTGCGGTTATTTGGCCTGACAGCCATTTCAGTCCTGCTGTCGCTTGCCAGCGATCTAAATCAGGGGTGTATAGTAAGCCAAGCATTTCGTGCAGTTTAAGTTCACATGCTATGATGCATTTGCTTAATGTAATAAAAATGTACAGCCACACGGTTGAAATTCTTCACCAGCCAGTCATGTTGCGGTTTATATCCATCAGTCTTTCCTTCGGAAAACTATAGTAACTGTGGCTTTGAAGGGTGGGGGATACTTATATTTATTTTAAAATTAAAAGACAACATTACCCTTAAAAACAATACAACGACATGAAACAGCCAACAGGGGTCAACAGGGGCGGGCTAAAAAAATTATTTTCTAGGAAACAAGCACCACCAAAGAATGTACTGTATGTATCCTCAGTTTCTAGGCAGAGCAGGTGATATCACAATTACAGCAGAACCAATAAGTTGGGTAGAACAATGAGAGAGTGTATTCATCGTGGAAGGGATCATCATTCTCTTCAGCAGGAAAAACAATGTTAAAAATGAGATATCAAATTCACAAGAATGTGATTGACTCAAAGTCACAATGACCTTGAACTTTGACCCTTTGCCACATATTGACCTCCTTTCAGTCTAAGTCAATGTTTCCACCACATTTACTTCTTCATTTGTTTGGGAGACATTGTAAGTGGTAAACATAAGAAAATTGCCCACAATTTTCCACAGGAATTTCTACGTTAAGATTCTCTACAATTCACTTAGAAGACACTTTTATCCAAAGCGACTTACATCAGAGAGTAAGTCCAGCACAAGCAAGGCTCTAGAAAGGAGGAAACAACCTCATTAAGTGCAAACAAAAAGCTTTATTCTGTTATACATTTGTGAAAAATGTCTCTATTTTAGGCGTGATCCTATGAATGCACTAAAAACTCTAAAGCTAAGGCACATGGGCTTGACACCAATTTACTGAAATAATAAAATAGAACTGTGTCTAATCCTATATATGGCTAATGCTCATTTAAACAAAAAGTTGGTTCATCTGCTTTGACATTTGTAATCTACCCTGATTTTTAAGTCTGGGGTCAAATAAGACATGGCTAACTACCTACCAAACAGCACATGTCCTGTGAAATCTACAGTGGCAGAGAAGTCGGTACTGAAGTACTGACTGCACATAAAATCTGCATCTCTGCACCCTACTAAATTGAGGTTCACTGACCGACTGGATAAGCAAATTGTGCCTTTTTAGAATAAGAAAAATGTATTTACAGTATTTAAGCAAATCAGACACTTGTTTTGGGCATAGTTCAGCATTCCTGATTTTCTCACACACAGCATGTGTTTAAACCTGGTCCCATACAATAAATGAACAGCATTGCTCTCTTTTATACAAGTTTTAGATACAAATCACTAATTTCAGTTTTGTAACATTGTTTAATGATATTGTTTATGAGTTTCAATATTTTCTTTAAATTTGCTTATTGTATTCTAAGGCTTTACTTTACTACAGTAGTTTTAAAGTTCCTTTGAATTCATTAATCAAAACATTTAAAGCATGGTTTTCATACGAGGGCCATCACAAGAGGCGAATGTGGTGCTCATATAGTTTTGTATTTGTATGTTGTCATTTTAATGTTTCCATCTTTTCATCCTGCCTGGGGACTGCAGATGTACAGTAAATTAACGTGTTACATCTTGTATTTTACACTGAAATTCATAAAAGTCCTATCACCATTGAAATAATCCAAATCCATAAAAAAATAATTAGAAGAATGGGAAAGATATTGTGAAACATGCCTCATGCCATGGATACCTACATGAGCAGAGGCCTACAAACTATATCCTCTAATATATGATAATTGCACTTTTATTGTACTTCTACAAAAAACCTGGTTAAGCTTAAGAGGAAGGTTAAACCCTGGACAAAACATCAAAACTGTCAGTTTTTTTAAATTCATAAAAACAAACAGGAAATCTGTATCATTACTCAATAGATTCAGGGGAAAGGTTTAGATGAGATTTACTCATGCAGAGCTAAATCACCGGCAGGACTGTCCTAAATGTTTTAATCCATGATACATCATTCCAAAGCACTCATAACCCAGTTTAAAAGGCTCCTAAGCTAGTTTCTGTGTGCTGTAGAACTTATTTGTTTAACGCTGGCATGTGGCCAGAGGCCAACGTGACTAACATGGTTTGCTCTGACCCCTATTTCATATTCACTACCGAATTAGTCAAGACTTTAAAGTTCCAGGCTTTGAGGAGCAGTTCAGCTAAAGGGTGACATGTTGCTTGTGTTTACTCACCCGCTGCATTCCCCACATCTCAAATCCTAAAATATCTTGGAGCTTTTTATTTCTGTCTTGAAATATTCAAGCATCACTTTGCAAGAAAACCTGGATACTGCAGGATCAAATTGCAATGCAGAGTGAAGTGGCTATATTCTTCTGTCTGTTTTGTCTCTTTGTGTGGTTTTCTAGGAATTTCTCGCCTGTTGGCTTCGATTGTCTGTGGTTGGGCAGCTGACACACTGCTTATTTTGTTCTTGTGATGGTTGCTCCTTTTTTCTGGCATCAGGTGTGTTTTGACTTTTTGGTTGTTCCCTTACACACACATTACACAGACATACTGTAGATATCAGCACAAGGGCAGTCAAACGATATATTTTTAATTGCAATGAATTAATACATTTCAATAGTGAATCACAAATAATCACATTTTTAATATGTTAAATTCAATTAACTTGCATTTAAAAATAAAAATTGTTAGGCTTTTATTTTGAATTTTTGTTCTGTCTAAAGGTGTGAGTACTTGCTGTTTGAATTCAACCTGCTTTTATTTTGAAATAATAATAAGGAACTCCTTACAGATTAAAAATAATTGAAATCAGCTAAACGAAATGATAAAAAGTGAAATATTTGATGTCATACGGTGGATATGACTTTTCACTTGTCAACTGAGCTGTCTTGGAGATGTTTTAAAGTGAACTGAGCCATTGAGAGATCAGCAATGTCGTTCTTTTCCATCACTGTGACTTCAGGGAGACACTGAAGAGGCTTACCCCCAGGGTGCCCAGGGTGCCCAGAGAGACAATGAGAGCATGCGATTAATCTCAATAAAAAAAATTCATGCATTAATTAGAGACCTTAATTAACCACGATTAACTAGTTAATGCTGACAGCCTAATGAACACAAAGATGAACATTAGGATTCTTAACATGATTCATAGCAGTAGCCTAGAAGAACTCGACACTTTGACTCGGATGTGTGTTTGTGTCCTTGGCTAGAATCCATCACATCTACTGTCACATGGCTGCCTTCTAGCCAAACTGGTCATGGCCAATTTCAGAGTGTATCTATGACAAAAATACTGTAATCCCTCCTTCATGGCTTCATGGCAAATATTTGCATCTTGAGAAATAGACATGTGAACCTTGGATATTTTCAGCTGTGTGCCTACAGAGCGTAACTTAAAACCATGAATTTTTCAGTGCCAACCACATCAGGAATGTATCAAACAAACACTTTGATGGTATACATTTGTGACTGAATCTAGATAGTCTCTTTATATTTTGCACACAAAGCTGTGTGGATGTCTTTTTTTCTATTGGCAGTAGTCAATGATTAAAGCTGTTGAAGGAAAGTCTCAGTGATGTTGTTTCTCTGAGCCCCATCTAGACCTTTGTCTGTATAAGAATATCTTCTAAAAAAATCCCCACGAGTTCAATCAAGAAAAAAACAAGAAAGAAAAAGATGATCAGGCATGAGATACATGTAAATGTGATGTCTATGTTTATGTGATATCAACAATAAAATGCCCTTTAACCCCTATTTTAGTACAAGCCAGTTCTACTGTTATCTGAAATAAGTATAGAAAAGCGTAAGACTGGACAGTTATTATTCAAAAAGGCCGACATGAGCAATCACATTTATTTTACCACTTCTGACTACCATTACCACTATCTGAGGCCGATTTCATCCAAAAACAGCAACCTTTTGTTACTTTACTGTTGGTTAACACAGGTCGTTTGGGTGTCTGAAACGGAAGGCTTTGAAAACGAGTCCCAGAGTGCAAACTTTTGGAAATGGTACCATCTCCATTGTGATGTAAACCGGTAAAACTGACCTTACGCACATGCGCATTAAGGTTTCAGTCAATAGTCATGCATGAGTTGGACTACAACAATAATGGTGAATTCCAGAGTTTTGTTTGTGCTTCTCACTCCCTGTCAACATTTTCTGGAAATGTACTCTCTTTGGAGCTTAGGGTCACTTGGAGTAACAACCCCACCTCATGTTCTGTCCACACAAACATTTTTGCTTCAAACATTTCTGTATTACACCTTACCCTGATGTGGAAGGAAGAGTTAAAAAGTCACACTCCCAACTACTGTCCTGGTATACTACAAGGCTTCTGTTGTTTTAGCTGAGCCGTTTACACGTCGGCTATTATCAAAATGTTGTCGTCTGAATGCAGAACATTTTTATAAATGAATATGAAAAATGACTGTTTCCAAAAGCTTGTCGCGTGTAAACGTGGCCTGAGTGAAGCTGTGTCAGGGAATGTGAATTCCCCTGAATCCAGTAAAGAGAAGTGCAGACAAGGAAATGTTAGCTTTAACACTAATAAGATTAAGGACAATCATCTTTGTGGGGAAATACTACACAGTGGGAGTGAACAGGGCAACTTTTACATCACCCTATCATCACCCCATAACCTACTTACTCCTGGAATTGGAGGTAATGCTATGCTTCTACTCTATACTCAGGTAGAGCCAAAGCCTTCTCCCCTCTCACAATACCAGTGAAGAAAAGGGATTGGTCACTATATAGGCTGGGCTTCTATAGTGGTTGTTCTCCTATCTCGAACATTTAATTATTCAAAGCAGGCAAGGTTTGCATTATAAGTTACCTTGGTGGTGTACTCCCCTCCCCAAAGAAAAACAAAGGGAACCATGCATTGTGCTAAAAGCCAAGGGTTAATGCTGAAGTTACCTATGTCACAGCAAAGGCATTCACCTACTTCTTCTAATGGCTTCCAAGCAATTGTTGGACAATCACTGTTCCTGTGTTTAGTAGGCAAGCTGACTGCTGTTGTCTGATAATGACAATAAAGAGCCTAAAGGCAAAGCCATGCAGCTCTTTGAGTACAGAAACAATCTGTCACTCAGACGAGGCCGTGGTGTCAGCGGGAGTAACAACCTGACAATCGAGATTGTATGTGAACCCAGACTGTAGATAAATTCAACACACATCTGTGGCAGGTGGGACAAGGAAAAAAACAAATAGTGGTTGAAGTAAATATGCTTGGAATACTGACATTCCCCTTGGGCTCGAGTTTGAGTAAGTGACAAATTCTGCCCAACATTTAGCTGCCACGAAAAAGAGGCAGTGTTATATCTTTAGGCTGAACTTATTCAGCTGCAGTGGTTGATGATGTGTCCCTGCCGCCAGCAGTGCACCTGCCCCGAGGCAACGGGTTGTTGGAGAAAGCAGATATGTGTTGCACTCTGTTTGTGTGGGAGGTTGTTACAGTATGCATGAAGCAGCAGTGGGCTACATAGATAATGTAGGTTGTTATGTTGTTGATTATTTTTTAAAAGCATGTCCTGCAGGAAGCATTGGGGTAGTTAATGTGATGCATGACGGCTTAGCGCAATGAATCCCCGACCCATTTCAACATCCTTTTCTCCTGTTTGTCATTAACACTTTCCCTTGCAATTTCTCCCACTTTACACCGAACACTTTTCAACACTTCTACACCTGTAGTCGTATGTATTACATCCATGGTTCCTCATCTTATGTTGCTGGGAGTAAATCAGCAAAACTAAATCAGAGAGACCCCTCCCCGAACACAGCTTGGCAGCAGTCATGAGACATTGCATTACATTACATGAGGTTGGAAGACGCAACTGTTAGGTTTTCAAAATAAAGCTGCTGGAAATGAGGAAACACAATGTAAACAACATGGGTCGATTCAAACCCCACAATTGCTTTTTCTGATGTGCTTTAAAGACGAGAGGATTGATACCACTCTGTGCTTTAACATGAGGACACCATGCTGTTTAGATGGTAAATGGACTTGAGCTTGTTTAGCGCTTTTCTAGCCTTCTGACTACTCAAAGCCTTTTTACACCTTGAGAAAGAGGCTGCTATGTGACCATCAGTATTAACTAATCCCATTCATATATATTCATCCGACAAAGCATTGGCAGCAGTTTGGGATTAAATGTCATGCCCAAGAACAATTTGGACATGTGGCTGCAGGAGCTGGACATTGAACCCCCAACCTTCGGGCTGAGAGACAACTGACTACCAAATAAACCCCAGTCGCCCCTTTAGCTTAGCTTTTCTTAGCATAAAGACTGAACATGTTTGGAAAGAGCAGCGTCACTATTAGAAAGTATTGTTCTTTCTAAGATGTTTGAAAACAGAATAAACATTTTTTCATTTTTATGCCTCATTGTTTTTTTTGCAGGGTTAAAAAGTGAATGGGTTAATCAGAGAGCTTTAGTCAGGTGCTTGGTATGCCGCTCTTTTACTTAAAGACTAATTATTCCCTCCTTCTAGAGATCTATACATTTCTGATTCATCTCTTGGTACAGAAGTGAACGAGTGTGTTTTCCAAAAAGAAAACTTTTTGTTTACACTGTTTTAAATACCAAATGTGGAGGATTTATATCATTGAGAAGCTCAAAACAGTGTAGCTTAAATCACCTTGTTCTGGGCCGTGCTCAGCCAATCCTCCCCTTACTCCTCCTGAAGCCTCTTCTTCTCTTCCTTCTGTTGACACCTCTACTAGCAAGAAAAAGAAAATTCAGAGGAAGAAAAAAGAAACTCATACTTTTGGGGGCAAATGGGTATTTTCTTTCTTAATTGTTGCAGTGTGTCATTGAAGAGAGGACAAGGGATAACCACTCCCATGGTGCTGGTGACTTTTAAAGTGCACTAATACAGTTACACCACTAGGAAAGAAAATCTCATACCCGAACTGGATTGTCGCAAATCTCGTTTGAAAGTCCGTGCTGCATAAATTTCTCTCTTCTCAATCGCAACTCTGAGTTGCCTGCTGGCTTATACTGTCTGCAGCTATCACACAAAAGTTACAAGTATTGAAAGAGACAATTCTGTTTACACTGCCTTTAGACACATTCAGTTAGTGAGGGATTTGCATTGCTTGAAAGTCATTTCTGTAGTTGAATACACAAACATTGTGACAATATTATACATTTTCAAGGATTCTACTCACCACTCACGCTTAAAGAGCCCCCTGTTGATTGTCTCACAATACACTTTGTTATTCCAAAAGAAGGTTCTTTGAACTTTTACAGCTGCAGATGCTGTTTTTCCTTTTTACTTCTTCTAACAACAGACAGAACTTCACCCAAGAACACTATACTTATGGTGGTGGGTTACACCCTATTTCTAATATAATTCTTTGGTAACACCCCTCTGTAGTCATGGTCCCTAAAGACAAGGAATTCTTCTGTATGAGAGCAGAGGACTGAGAGACAGAGCGAGAGAGAAGGAGAGAGGGAGGGTATTTTTAGGGGACGTGACCGACAGATTAAAGTGGGGAGATACAGCTGGCGGAGTGCAGGAATGCCGAGAGAAATAGTTCAGTGACGCAGCACATTGTATGCATGCTGATACTTTATCTGTACTGTTAATGCAAGCTGTGGCCATGCTGAGGTCCACTGCAGGCCTCCGTCATTTCCCTAGCTAAGTGGGTCGCTTGTATTTGGGCAGATTTTGCTTTCAAAAGAGGTCAAGAAGGATCCACTCAGACCCTCCAACCTTTCATTTCACAGACCAGTGATTATTGGCCAGAAAGTTAACTGGAAAACGTTCTTTGCACGCTCACTTGAGGCAGTGCGGATCTCATGAGACCATTTGGCTGAAGTGACATGAGAAAATGTTGGTGCTGTAAGATTATTTTTGACACGAGGTTAGAGTTCATGTTGTTTTAAGGCAGACTGGAGTGGACAGTAAAAGGGAAAAAGGACAGGAAATAAAAAGATTCAGCTCAGCCTTTAAACAAATCAAACAGAACACATTAATCCCATGATAAAGTAGGACATGTCATATTTAGTTTTCATCAATCTTGGAATCAAATACAATATGAATAGCTCAACGCAGAGCTACAGAACTGCATACAATCAGACCCCCAAAAAACGTATTATATGGTTGCAAAGGGTAAGTGGAGTGTCAGATGATCTAGTGAATAAAAATAGAACAGGCGGGAAGGAGGGATGGATCAAACACAAACCTTTCTCTCTTCACACCAGAATTAATTTCCCCTGTGTATGCAATTATCATCAACTCATTTTAACTTTCACGAGAAGTTGACGTAATGTTATGAAAGAAAATAAAAACTTGTATAATTATCTCTTATATAACATGAATTATGAGGTATGAGTTTGTAACCTGACTTGCGTAACTGACATACCTATTTTGAGTCAACCACAGTGTTATCCTAATCCATGTATTTGATTTGTATTAATGTAAATGAAGAAGTCTAATAAGCCAACACACCTGAAATCATAGATGTTGTTTTAAGAGTTACTGACAACTATTTATTTGAACTAAATCACTCAAAAGATCAATACATGTTGTATTTAAAGCACCAAATAGGAGCCAAAGTTATCTCACTACACTCCATATCCTGATCCACCAATGAGCTAGCACGTTGCGACAGTATCACAAATCTATCTTTAAACAGACACCTCAAGAAACCTTATCTGCCATGACTGGCTGTGCCGAGAAAGTGGGGTAGAGGGAAAGACAGACAGTGGGTGCTTCCGAATTGCAAAGTGCCGACACAATCTGACAGTAGACAGTCCCTTCTATCCGTGCTGTATAGAGTGGAAGTGGGCGTCATTAGCCCGTCTCGTGTTATTGACACTCCTACTCAGATGTGATACGCTCGATGGCTCAGTAAATAATACAAAACTTCACATTGCATGTTAACAATTTAACAACATAACATTTTAAAGGCACTTTAGCCGAACCGTCCTTGTTTTTGTTTTTGTTTTTGTTTTTTTTCATCCTCGTTTGTTTTGATTTGGAGGAGCACATGAAGTGAGGTTTTACGTTTATTTTCGCACTGCATTGTGGGTGGTAAAATACAATTCATTTCCTGAACGGATGCATACAAACCATACTGCACAAAACCCGGAAGTTAGTATCCATGCTGAAATGTTCAGTCTAGAGAGGCGGACCCAAAAAAATGCATACTGAATGACCATGAGGGTTCAGTCTACTGAAACTCCATACTGGAAAGTCTGCACTGCATACTGTGGCTTTTCAGAAAGGGCCAGTATATATTTTTTTACAAAAACCTAACCAAGTACCATGATGCTGTGAAAACTTCAATGTTTCACATGTCACTGGTGCTCTCCTACGCTTATATACTGTATATCATTGTATCAGAGTCATTGGTAATAGCACTTCTGTCAAATATGAAAACTTGTTCTATAAAATACATCGCAATATTCTTTACACCTTCATGTTTACAGAAAGATAGAAATCTAGTCATTTACTTTTTTTCCAGGCATTTGGTCTTTTTTCAACAAAGCGGGTTCTAACTTGAACCCGCTGTTCCTAAAACTCTGAGATCATTGCTGATGGGTTTTTTAAAGACGCGTAATCCAAGGCTTTAAGGAAAGGGAAAGTAATGTTGATCTGTTGCTCAGAAAGAAGGCCAGTTAACCACTGCCGTCTAGACTCAAACATCCCCTAACAAATATAATGAATTGCCGATTCTGAGTTTGTTGATCCCTTGAATTTTTCTGTGTTGCCATAAGATGCACATTTGTGGGTTTTATTGAAATGTCAAGAAAATTATTGAAAAGTTTTATTGAAAAAGAAATTTGGTTTTGATATTTACATCTCTTTATGGATAATATGTTGTCAATTTGGTAATCCTTTTACTTACAATCATGACATCATCATGTTAAAACGTACACGAGGGCTTCATACACTGCTGAAACGATATCTGCTGTAGACATGTCTGTCTCCGGTTATATTAAACTACAAGTGTAGGAGATGTGTGGACCTCAAATAAGGAAACAGAAAGGCATATACTGTAGCATCGTTGGGTGTTTTAAAGAGGACATTGACATTAAAAGGAATATACGAGTAACAAAAGTGAAACCAAATGGTTGTCACATTGAGAATGGTTGCTCATGCTCACCTTCCTGTCCACTCATAAATCGACATGAATCCAAAATAAGTAGGCTATGATTGTATGAAATTAATTGTTACATTTATGAAAGCTGTACATAATGTTCGCAGCATTTGCATTATAGCTTAAGAACCACCACACAAATCAGTAAACACTGTGACATGTAGACTTTATTGGGCTTTGAAGTTGCTCTGACTGACACAGGCATGTGTAATGTGACAAAATATGTTAAATCTCTTTTTGGTCATCGTTAGTTTTTGTGAACAGTCCGATGCGCGAGTCGCACCCTATGCCAAAGGAGGTTATAAAGGAAGCATTGACGCACCTTTCCTTAACTTTTAGAGCATTCGAACAGCACTTATCATGGCCGCCACTTACATGCTTCCAGGTCATTTCACTCAGTGAGGAACATTCCTAAGCAAAAAAAAAACAATTGAATGCACCAAAGGATCAGAAATGACAGGAAACGCTAAATAGTAAACAATCAACACTAGGATAAACAATTAACTAAGTAACAAAACAAGGAAGAAACTAACTAAACAAGAGTAAACCATGACATGACCGAGTTCAATTAAGGAAAAGAGGCTCAGACTTTTATCAGCATTCAGCCTCTCAGAGCACAAAGAGGCAAATCAAAGGACTATCGATCCATGGAATAAGACTCTCTCACTTTAACAGAGAGGAGGAGGAGGAGGAGGAGTGATAAACTGTACTACAAAGACAGGATCGATCAGCGCACACCCTGACTCACGGATCAAATATCCAAGCCTTTGCTAAGACGAGGTTGACACAGCTACAGCTTTGACAGGTGGAGTGGGAGGGAGCATGGAGCCCACAGTGTGAAGATGTAGATAGATTTGTTTCACATTCCTCACACATTTAACTCACACTCTGAACTTTGTCATGCAGTCCATTCTGTAAATGTAATTTAGCTCCAGCTGTTGAAATCCTGCTGTGGGCGGTGAGTTACTTTGATTGTGATGTAAAGATTAAATATAATTATTTTAGAGGAAAACCTTTTAAAGAATATGAAAATGTAAATTAGATTTAGGTGTGCATTAAATGTGAGATCATCATATTACATGCTGATCCCACTGTGAACTGTAACTAAGCAATTCCTTAAGCACGATATTATCTATTCAATTTGACTTTCTGCATAGACTTGGAATATTCACAAAGGCTTTATATAAAAGTAATGCTCCTTAGGTTGGTAATGCTGTGAAAGACTTCCTGCGCACCTTACATCAAAGCCTTACCCTGCAAAGGCCGTCTCTTTGAAGTTGCCAGGCTTATATCCCCTTTGAGATGTGTGATAATTCACCGTTAATGACTGTTTGTTACTTCAGCAGAGATAAGAATATCTGCATCAGACCCCCGCACACTGCCTGATGAGGAGGTGCAAATGCAGAGCTTGAAAGAGTGAACTTCAGATCTCAATTTTGTTTCATAAAAGAAAAAAAAAAACCCTGATGAATGCAACCATGCCGTGCACAAATAATCTACCAGGGGACAGAAAGCATGCCCTGTAGGACCTTTGTACATCCATCCATTATCTATACAGCTTTTCCCGTTCAGGGTCGCGAGGGGCTGAAGCTGATCCCAGCTGTCACTGGGCAAGAGGCGGGGTTTACCCTGGACTGGCTGTCAGTCAAATACAGGGCTGACATATAGAGACGGACAACCAGCCACGCTCACACTAACACCTACGGGTCATTAATTAAACTAACAAGCATATCTGGACTGTGGAAGGAGTGTCTGGAGGGATGAATGCACAGGGAGGATATGCAAACTCTACACAGAAAGGCCCTGTCCAACAGGGATTTGACCCAGGAACCTTCTTGCTGTGAGGCACCAGCGCTTACCTCTGTACATGCAGCACATTTCAAATGGCGGAAGTTGATCATTCACACAAATGAGGCTTCTCATGGAAATGTTGCAATTTAAAAAAAGATAAAGACAGAAAAACATTGACATTGTTATTAATACTTTAATAGGGATATTTACTGGAATAAGGCAATATATAATGAACTTTTATTTTGTGGCTTTTTGTTTGGAAAATCGTGTTGAAAAGTTGTGTTTCACAGCAGTTAGTAGATGTTAAAATGTGATAAACTGGGTATTTAAGGTGATTTTGTCAATTTGCATTATTGATGCTTTATGCATTCTCCATTCCATAAAGCAACGCTTTCTCTTTTGCACATTAAAGTCAACTTTTTTTAAACTTAAATGACATAGCTTGATTTTTAAGAGCGAAAACTGGGATATTTTTTGGCCTATGATGTGTTG